GAATGAATACTGTTCGTTATTTCCATATCCCTCTTTTAATTAATGAAGGGAAATCGAGCAGAAGTCTGTTTAGTTTTCTAACGAAGCTACTTTTTAAAAAGGGAAATACCCTCGTAAAGTCTGTTTTTTTCAAAGAAAGATAGAAGAGAGATTGAGAGGGGGATGGGGGCTTCCACATTAACTCAAATAAATGTCGGAATCTTTTGACATTAAAAATATATAAGCCTGTAAACCAATTGAAGCAAAAATCTAAGTTCTAATTGGAAAAAAAACCCAGAGGCATGTTCTAGCAATAGGATTGGAAACAAATTCTTCAATTTTATTCAGACGAATGACTATTCTTAACACGTTAGAGGGTTCCATTGTTTTTACAATAATACCAAAGCATGGTGATGAAGTTTTGACATTTTTTTGTTTAGATTACCCTTTGTCCGATGCATGCCAGATGTATGGTTAACAATAAATTATTCTGAATCCTGGTGAATTTCTTGTTGTTTTTTTTTTTTAAACTTTTATTGATATTTATAATTTGTATTTGAATCGCATACTAAATATTAAAACCAAGTTTGATAATTTCCCGCAGCAATATCGCTAGAAATCAGAGAGTAATGAATATTGTGTATTTTCTTTATATATTTTAATGATTTGTGGTAACTATAGTAACTATAAACGTTAAGGAGACCAAGAATTAGGGTTAAATGGAATAACCTGTCCCTTTGTCTGAGTTGAAATAGACTCGACCAAAGTGTATAGATAAGAACGCACTGAAAGTGTCAGGGTCTGTCAGTCGTATGCAAAGCTCCAAAGAAGAAGCAGTAGAAGAATTTGGTTTAGAATAAGAAAAGGTGAATATAAGAAATTAGTAAACATTGCACCAGTGGCAAGAAACCCGGGGAATAGAGGCAAGATACTGGGGGTGTAGATCTGCATAAGAAGGAAACTCCTACTATCCGCCATCAATAGGAACCTGGGGCAATCTAGAGGTACACGGTACTTTGTTACCAAGTCATAATTTAACCACGCTTGTATACTGTAAACCGATTTTTATTCGCGACGACTTTATTTCGCGATTTACCGGCGATAAACTAGTTGGCGACGACTAATTTTCGCGATCAAGCCTATTTTTGTTCTGTTGTTAATAGGCACATACACCCTGAAGACCGGTTCGCGGCGAGAAATATTCGCGATGACGAGGCTCTCGCGAACATCACAAAAATTTCTCGCACGCGAATAAAAGTTGGTTTACAGTATATTCTTTGATTAAAGAAAAAATAGAATAACCCAGATAGGTTAAAGGAAAATTATTATATTATAAATAATTAAATTAATATATTTATCAAGTACTCAGATAATGTACAGGTTACAATATTATGAAGATATACATAACAGACATTTTAGGAACGTATCGTCTGACCTTTAAATGAAAAAAAATACTAAAATTGTATAATTAGTCACGGAATATTGCTCTTAAACATCGCCAATTTTACATAATGTTTTTGAAGTTAAAAAAATCGAACATTTAGTAATTGATTTTTAGACTTTTCTTAACGATCCCTTTTCCCTAAACTAATTTAAATTCCGTGTGTATTGAAATATGTATGAGAAACCCATTAAACATTAATATTTGGGAGATGATATGTAATATTTTAGCTTCATTTCCTTTGATATTTAGTAGACAAAGTGTCGTTTAGAAATACTACTCCCTTCATTAATAATGAATGCAAAATAATTTAATAGGTTCTCTTTGCTAAAATGATATATTTAGTTTACTCGTAATTAAATGGCTAATGGTAATGGAATGAAACGCTTAAATATTATTGATTAGTTCAATTCAGTTGATGGAATCGTTATCTTTTTAAGGACCAATTAGTTGTACTGCGAATTATGGAGACATTTTTATCAAAACAAAATGCACTTTTACTGTACAGAGAAAACCAATGGCCTTTTCACAATACAGTACTTGCCACGAGTTATCCTAAAAAAAAACCACGGGGCCCCTTGGACCACAAGTCCACGCTTTAGCTTGGACCTCTAACCAAGTCGGTGTCTTTGAAGTCAGCGTTTCTCTGCACCGTGTAACACGATGTTTACTGTACGTGTTCAAGGAGAACATTTTTATTCCCTTTATTAAATAAAATTATATCAATTTCCTTTTGAAATATTTGTTGCACATTTCCAAAAAACTAATACTGGTAATTCTTTGCATACAGATGTTTAAACTAATAAGATGCCTTACAATTAAATAATAACGTGCTCGTGTCCAGCAAAAAAAAATGTACAATAACGTTTCTATTTCAATCCTAATTATATTAATTATAAAAAGGTCAATAGACTATTATTATGTTACGCTTAGAGGAAACACACTTTAATAAATGGATTACTTGATTGTTTCTACTTGCGATTTTTATTTAAACCATGTTCATTTAAATTGTTGATACAAGATCGTTTTTCCTTAATCGTGCATTCATATGTAGTGCATATCAGATGCGTGATTATACTAAGTCAGTTAATAATTAAAAAATAAATAAATATTTATATGTACTGTGTCTAGAATAAAATTAAAAAAAATACATATCAGACTCGCACAATAATTATGCTCTCTGATACCGGTAATTACTCGGCGAATCATTGGTTCAGAATAGGCACAAGACGAAAGACCACCTTTAAGCAATCGCTTAATGGTAGCTTAATGGTGACTTAATGGTGGTTTAAAGAAGTTAATTCCTTTAAGCCACCATTAAGCCACCATTAAGCTGCAACTTACAGGTGCTTAATGTCCAAACTTCATTAAGCTACCATTAAGCCACCATTAAGCTGAGCTTAATGGTGACTTAATGGTCAACCCTCATAAAACTTTTACGCATCTTATATATAGAATCTTTAACTAACATTTAGTTATTTTAATATCATTTGCGCAAAATCTACTCCAACTCATAATTCTGTCTCGATCATATTTTCTACGAATTTTTGGTCAACATGCATAAACTTGATCGCTGGGAACAAAGTTAGCTAATAGCCACAGTAGCTTGCTCGAGGTGTCTATTTTTTTCTTGAAATCATTTACAGTGATAATAAAACAAGACATCCTGTATCAGAACCGTATATTACTTTTTTTAAATAAATCATTATTACATGCGTTGTTTTTATTTTTAGTGTTATGATTTTTAAAAATGAATAATTATTACACACCGTGAGCAAGTCCTTGTGAATTATCTTAAATTTACATACCAAAAATCAATTTGTTCTTAAAATTATCTATATTCATGAACACAAAATATAAATTACTTTTTAAAAACAAAATGGTATTTTTATTTCATGTGTTAAAAGAAACATTCCGCTACAGAATTCACAGGAATATAACTATATAATCTCATGAAAAAAATCTCTGTCCTTTTTTTAGGGGGGGGGGGGGGGGGGCTACTGGTATACAAATGTTTAGTTTTCAAAGATTGACTTTTACCATGAAAAACTTTATAATGGCTTTTACATCATGAATAATTCTAATTAATTCGTTATTTTTTTTTAATAATGCAGCGGTAAGTATCTGTCAAAATCTAGTAGGTCTTCAATGATTGTTATTTCAAAATCGATTTTCAGAGGAACGGCCGATCAGACTAAAAACATGACATCCGACCAGATGTATACACATTGAGAAACGGGGTAAGATTAACAGATGATCAGTGTACAGTAAACCGACTGGTCAGACAAGAGACCTTAATTAGGAGTCCCCCCGTCCCCGGTTAACTAACAGGAAACTATACATACACAACGTACGCTGACAGATTTTAATGATAAATTATTTCTAAAAAATTTAAATTTAACGCAAGCATATAACAAATTAAAAATTAAGATTCATCGTAAAAAGTCAATTATTTTGATACCCATTATGATACAAAAAGAATTGAAACTGAATATGATATTCTAAAAAAAGTTTTTGCAAACGTAATTAACCAGGTAACACTTACGCGAGGATTGTCACTAAATTGTTGACACAGATACCGTTAATATCCGCAGTATATTAAAAATAATAGTAGAAACTATTTTTCCTCTTTCTTGTTCGATGATAGACTTTTGTGTTTTATCTATAATTAATTTATTTTCAATCATGATTTAATGCTTACATTTCGAAAATTTTCGAATAACAGAGCGAAGAACTCAATCACATTACATCAATCTAAAAGCCGAACTCAGTGTAGAAATATATATTAATTTGTTAAGATCCACAAATAAAATTGTTTTTATTTTGATTAATAAATCAATTGAAGACTTTTGGAAATGTTCAATAAAATACTAGTAAATACCTTTTCCAAGTCCAAACAAATTTTGAAAAAAATAAAAGTTAAATATATAATATTTTCAATACCTTTTCAAGAGCGGCGATAGACTAATGGATAAGGCGTTCGCCTTCCAACCCTAAGGGCATGGGATCGCGCCCCGACTGCGGCACTTTTTTTTTTAATTTTGGATTTTGAATTTCGTTCTTTATCATTATTTCTACCAAATCAAGATATAAGCGAACTCTACATTTATAATATTGATAACAAATCACTATAAAAATAATTTTTCACCCATATAAACAATATTATCGACTGCGTAATGTGACTTAATGTTGGCTTAATGGTGGCTTAGTGGTAGCTTAATGGTAGCTTAATGGAGTTTGGACATTAAGCACCTGTAAGTCTACCTTAATGGTAGCTTAATGGTGACTTAATGGTGGTCTTAAAGTTACCATTAAGGACCTGTAAGCCACCATTAAGCTACATTTAAGCACCCATTAAGGACGTTGAGTTGGCTTAATGGTAACTTAATGGTGGTGTAAATGTTACTTAAAGGTGCTTAATGGTGTCTTAATGGTGACTTAAAGACAACCATTAAGCCACCATTAAGGACCTATAAGCCACCATTAAGCCGGACTTAAAGGGTGTGTTTCATCTTGTGAGGATTATTGCAGTTAGAATATACAGTTACAATCTGTAATTAAGAAAATCTTACTGTGGTAGATGGACTTGTTCTCAAGGGAGAAAGAATCGTGAGATATTCAGCCGGAAATCTTGCGACAATTACACACAGGACACATGGGCATGGAGAAAACCAAGCGTCGAGCTAGAAACATTGTATACTGGCCAAATACGAATAGAGACATTGACTCTACAGTGCAATCAAAATCCTAAGAAACCTCTTGTCTCGACAAACATTCCTGAAGGACCATGGCAAGTCGTAGGAACAGATTTGTTCAGCCTACACAACAGTGACTACTGGATTGTTACCGAGTACTACTCCAGATATTTTGAAGTTGCAAAACTACCTAACACCAGAAGTGGAACTGTGATTGACAGACTTAAGTCCATGTTAGCGAGACATGGCATTCCGTATGAAGTAAAGAGTGACAATGGGCCTCAGTATATTTCACAGGAATTCAGACAATTTGCTAAGGATTGGAACTTCAAGCATACTACCTCTAGTCCTTACCATCAACAAGCTAACGGACTTGCAGAGAGGACAGTTCAAACGGTAAAACAACTACTTGAGAAATCGAGAGTTGATGGAAGTGACCCTTATTTGGCCATACTGGAATACAGGAACACAGCAACGGATATTGAATCACCAGCTAAGTTATTGATGAGCAGAGGGTTGAGATCCATATTACCTGTTACCAAAAGGCAACTTAGACCAAAAACGGTGAAACCCAGAGACGTCGTCAAGGATCGAAAGGAAGCGGAAAGGAGACAACAATATTATTTCAATCGCTCAGCTCCAGATCAACCAAAGATTTCTATGGGACAAGCTGTTCGATTCTGACACAAAGATGAATGGAAACCGGGTTATGTGATGAAGAACGAAAACCGATCATAATGGATGACCACACCAGAAGGGGAATGCCGTAGAAACCGGAAGGACATTCTTATTTCAAAGGAGAAAAACTTTAAACCAAAACAAGCAATTTCCATTGACAATAAGCCAAAGAGTTCACAGGGATCCGATACAGCAGTAGGCTCTCAGAGTGCTATTGTTTCGGAACCACAATCTCCACGTAATCCTACTTGAAGTTATCGTATCCGATCTGGACGATAAGTACGAAAGCCCAAACGTTTCGAGGAATAGATTAAGGATGAGTCAGTGATGAATGATTTGTGCAAATAATTTTTGTGTTTGTAAACTGGGCCAGAATAATCCCCATTATTTCTAGTCATTTTATATGACTGGGCAGTCTACCCAAGTCATTATTTATTAACAAGTTTAAAGTTGTTATAATGTGTGAACCAATTATTTCATAAGAAATTATAACAAAGACATTGACTGAACTTTAAAATTTTATTACATCAAAATTTTGTTATAGGAAAAGTTGTAATTTTCATAACTTTATTACGGATTTATTTGCTGTGCCAAGTTTACTTTTACTAGCTGCTTTCATTTTGTAACCAGTTTAGAGAACCAGTTAATAAATGGCTGCACATGTTGACAAGATTTATTGTGCTTGACATATCCGAGACATCCTCCTTCCCCTGTCATACATAACATTACATTGTGCGGCGACAGCCTTGATATTAAGCGAAGTGTTCCCAGGTGACCAAAAATGGGTTGCACTCCTTTTGTTATTATAATACGTATTACGCATTTTTTTTACTAAATGAAAATTTCGGTATATATGATAGGTAGGTATACGCGAACTCCTGTGCTAATATGTATGTAGAAAAAAAAATCAAGTTTGTATACGCCTGCGTTCCCCCTTTTCTAATGCCTCAAGGTTATATGATTAAATATAATCCTTTAAAATTCAACTGATAACGTTAATTGTACTGACTCAATTAGTTAAAAAAAGGTTTGCTTCCAGTCTCTTAAATTCTTTAATTCATGCTTTTTGACGTGTCACAAAAGACAAACTGTTTTTCAAAGACAAGAGAGATAACTCCACAGAGAATTTGGTTCATATATCAGATTCTGCGATGCTGTCTACTGAATAGCATCGAATATTTGTAGACTTATTTGTAAAAACAAGGGTTCGCTTCATGACAGATATTAAAACTGTTCTAAAAAAAACAAAAACAAACAAAAAAAAAATGAAATAAAAAAAATCAAAACCATTTTCACTTAATAAGGTTTTATATACATTTGCTCAAAAGTTAAGGACCCCTGATATGGACTTTGTTATGGCAATTGAAAGTAAACAAAAAATATTTTGATTGAATAAATTCAGATTTACTGGTCAATCAGACCTTTATTTAAAATTTGTTTTCATGTCACCTGGATATCTCTGTTTATATACTCATAAAACCGCCGGTTTATTCAAGGGTATCAATGCGTGTTCGAACAATCCAGTTTTCAATTGTATTCACATCAATGTTCGCATGAGCTATACCGATGGGGAAACAAAGTAACACGTTTTGGGCAACCATGCCTCGTCGGAAACTATCGGATGCCGAACTTTGGCAGGCTGGTTAGAACTGGACGTATAGGAGGGTTGGTGATCACTTTAATGTCAGTCACACTGCTATTTTGTGTTTGGTACAGCGCTGGAGAAGAACTGGATGTGTGGACGAAGCGACAAGATCTGGAAGACCCCGAAAGACCACAAAAAGGGAAGATAGACTTCTAAAACATCTTGCTAAACGGAGCCCTTTTGACACTGTAAACAGGCTGAGAAGCAAGTGGAACACCCAAGCTCAAATCAGTAGAAGCACAGTTAACAGGAGGCTTAACAAAGAATGGATGCAACCATGTCGGCGAATAGAACGTCCATTCTTATCCCAGAGACACAAAGAAGCATGATTACAATGGGCAAGACAGCATAGGCACCTTAAATGCCCAAAAGTACAGAGACAACATGCTAAGCCCATTAATTGTGCCTCATTTCGATGATCATCCATTAGCAAGTCGACCTGTACTAATGAATTACAACGCTAGACCTCATCGGGCCCGAGTTGTTCAACACTATATTCGCCAAGAAGCCATTGAAATCATGCCTTGGTTTGCATTGTTCCCAGATATGAATTCCATTGAACATGTGTCATGTGTGGGATAATCTTGGTCGTAAACTTTATTAGACGACCCCAAGATGTGAAAAAAAATACAAAAATTAAAAGACGCTTTAATTCAGGAATGGAGACAGTTCCCCCAAAACCTCCTACGACGACTTGTCCACTGTATGAGAAGGCGTGTGAAAGAACTGTATAAAAGTGGTGGTGAATATACACATTATTAAATATCCATAATTATAAAATGTTACACACTGATGAATCTTTAAATGCCAATAAATTTAAACATGCTTATTATCAGAAACTTTTGTCAACAACTAATTAAAGTGAAACTTTAAATTTTACATTTTTGAATTGAATTCCTTTCTTTGAAAAATTATAAATGACATAAAACTGATTAATTATCAGATGATTTCGAAACTTTCATTGTCTAAAGAACATTTAGAGCTACTTAGATTTTAAAACGAAAATTTTGATATTTAATTGGATAGGTTTGAGTTTTATAAAGTATTTAAAGATTTTCACAAAAGAGTGATGTTCTTTTGAGTAAGTGTATTTTTTGTAATAAAATGTTATACTAAGTAAATCATTCAAATTGATAACAATATAGAGAATGATATATACGTATGTTTAAGATTTTAAATATTAGAATGTCATTGAATAAAGAACAGATACTGTAAATGGCATCCAGATGAGGTGTTATGAATCTGGCTTTTTAAATTTGACTGTTTCCAATTTAATATCAAGCTTTCGTGAACATGTTAAAGAGCAATTAGGCGCTGATAAACTTCTTATTCCTTAGTAATTAATCAAAGTACTGAGAAGTACAGAGAGCCGGGCTCATTTACAGAGTAGAATGGTAAGCTTTAACCTTTTTGAATTTCCTTCACAGTAATAATTCAATATTTATATCAACGGTAATGCAAACACAAGATTAAAACAGTTAGAATAATGTTGAGCGACAAAAACTAAAGGTTTTTATGTGATTTGTAGCACATAGGCCTTTGGATCGCTTAAACCAATATGATCTGCATTTTTGAGAATTTTATTTTGCTGGTAAAATGTGTTATTATGATTAATTTGTATGTTAATTTAACCATTATGATCAATAAGACCAAAATAAAGTTTAAAAAGGTTTCAGAAGAAATATTTCTGTACAACCGAACATACAGTATCATATAAGAAATCATTATTTTACAGGGTGATAATAATTCAGTTTTGCTTCAATCGAAGTTTTTAAAAAGTTCTTCCAAAGCAAATATGAACAAAAGAAGTTTATAAACGTTCTATTTTCCTGTCATTGAAAAAGTAAATAACAAAATTGAAATATTTTTATCGATGTCAAACATTCAGCTCATATTGCTTAAAAATTATTTGTAAAAAATATAAAGGTATGGAACTCTTACACTGGGTAACCGATTTCGCTAATAAAGTATATATTTTTTAATCAAGTGCTCTAATATTCTACTTTTTATTTAAATCTCTTTTGAGATAAACATTCTTCAATTCTACCAAATCTCATTCCGAAATTTCGTACACTTCTAGAGATATTCTAAAATTAATAAAAACTAGAAGTACTGTGAGCAATGAGCTCACTAAATGATACCCCCGCCTTCCATAATGTCAATGTGGTGCTATATATTGTTTAACGGTAATGTGTAAAGAGGAATAACTCGTCCTATCAAATGTTATCCAGAAGCTTCTATATGTAATGGCAATGTCCATGTTTTGCTATGGGAAGCCTAAAATACGTGTCGAATAAAAAAGTAACATAGGAGGTGCACAATGACAATATGAATAAAGATTCTATGAAAGTTTCATTAAATTTCTCTCGGTAGTATAAAAGAATTTGCGGATAAGAGATAAAGCGTAACAGACGGACGGAGGGACAGACGGAAATCCCGATTACTATGTACCCTCCCGCTGATCAAACGTGGGGTATAAAA